TATATATATAAAATAGCCAGTATTACTATTCACATAAAGCAAAAGTATGTCCTGAAACAAACAATAGCGAAGCAAATGAAACAATGCATGTATCCATTTTCATCTGATTTTTTTGGAACTCACTGTGCTGAAGCGAGCCACCAGGTCAGGCGTGACTGGGTATCGGAGTTTGGTCTTGCGATACAGTGGCTTCTTCTTGAAGTAGTTGACCATCTCCACGAGGCTCTCAAACTCAGTTGTTGTGCCGAGCAGGTAAACGCTGCCTTCCTTCTGGATCCGGCAGTGTTTGACCTTACCTTCACCTCTGAGGGACACATCGTATTTCAGTACAAAATGGAATTAACTTCATGAAATGAATGATGAGTATGCTACTCCACCTGAACGTGATAGCAAAAGAGTCTGGGTCTCCCTCCCTCTGTCGTATAAGGAAAGCTCCATCTCTGGGAATTTTCAGCAAATAATCTTCGGCCTCACCTCTGCTCAGGTTTCTGTAAAACCACCTAACATAAAATACAAAAAGAATTTTGATCAAACTGTCACCCCAAATAGAACATTCATTTTAAGTAATTCATTCACATTGTATTGCCATTGAATATGCAAGAGCCAACCCTGAGGAACACCTTGAAGAAACCATCTTTTCAGTTTTCATTTTACAAAAGTAAAAGATAAATTATTACAAAATATTTTTCACTATTAATGTGACCTGTAGCCTTACAACATTTTCAAGAGCTGAGGTCAATCAATTAAGATGATGTGGTTGCACAAGTGTGCACACCCTCTTACAACTGGCCATATGGATGTGTTCAGAGTTAACTAGTCACATTCAAACTCATGTTAAATGGAAATCAGCACAAACCTGACACTGGTCAAAGTGCCTCTGATTTATCCCAAATAAATTTCAGTCATTCGATGAGGCTATTCTTGGCTTTTTTTTTTTTGCTTTCTAGGAGTTTTTGTTTTTTGTGCTAAAACTGACTGGTCTTTGGAACTGTTCATAAATCAGTCTACCTTGCCTAAGGGTCCAGCTGGAGCGCAAGAAAAACAGCCCCAAAGCATGACAACATGTTTTACTATCGGTATGGTATTCTCTTGGTGATGAGCAGTGTTGCGCTTGTACAAAATAGACCTTTTGGAATTTGGGCCAAAAAGCCTAACCTTGGTTTCATCAGACCATCTCACATTTTTTCTACATGCATTTAGAAGATTACAATTGTGATTCAGCAAAATTCTGAAGCCAAGCTTACGCTTTTGGAACTAGAATTCTAAAAGTACGTTTGCCATCAACAAAACACTCGTCACCAAATGAACACCATGCATAAAGTCAGAGGTCGGAGTAAGCACTATATATGCAAGTCGCAAATAAGTCTCAAGTCGTAACATTCAAGTCTCAAGCCTGTCCCAAGTCACCGGGGGGGAAAAAAAATCAAGCAATTCAAGTCGAGTCGCCACCACATTTCAACCAATTCTTCTCATTACTTGGTTTAAACAAGTTGTAAGTCAAGTCATAAAATCTTGCTCAGCCACAATAAACGTTGAAGTGATCATTTATTTTTCACTGATCATATTACATGACGGATCTAAAAATGTTATAATCACTAATATCTGTAAAAATGAAAAACAACGTACAAAAGTAAGATCTACACTTTTGAATTATTTCGAAGAATGAATGTTGTTTTTTTTCAAACAAATGTTTATATGAGTGGCACAGTGTCATGGTGGTGATAAACACTGAAATATACTGAATGTTGGCGTAAACATGCAAATCATCAAATTCAAAAAGTACATACATCATTTCTGGATCCAATCTGTTACCCAAATCGAATTAGTGCGTGGCATTCAGAGGAGCTCAACCAACACGCATCACGATCAGGGGCACCGAGGTGGAAGTGGTTTTGAAGCACAGATACCGAGGTGTGGAGCTTGATGAAAGGCTGGATTGGAAGAATCGCACAGATTCCGTGCATTGCAAAGGCACGACTAATTTTTAAGGGGGTGAACATCATTCCAACCTTGCTTTGGACTGCCTAACACACAGTCGATGCCAGTGCCCTGTTTTTCGCTCTCGTCTGCTGGGGACAGAGTATACGTGTTGCTGATTACAACAGGCAGATACCAAGTCTCAAGCCAAGTCAAGTCACAATGCCTAAAAATAGTAACTCCAGTCTGATTCAATTCAAGTCATATGACTGGAGAAACATGATTTATCATGGTCTCATTTTTTTTAAATCACAAAAACCTTGCATCCGAGCAGGCTTTTTATACCCACTCCATATTCGAATTTCACGAAAAAATGCCCTATGACTCTAAAAGAGGTGTCGTCGTTCATTCGTCACCAAAGCCTGGGAGGTATCCTTAAATGAATGGAAACAGACAAAAGTACTTTCGGATTTATATTTCATTTCACTGAAATCTAAGTTGACTGTGACAAACGTACCCTTGCTGTAGATGTGGGTTGGGATGTGGTACAGCATCAGTGAGACGCAACTCAAAGTCTTGACAGCGCAGCGGGTTCTCCCTATAGTGCTGTATCAGGGCATACAGACTGGGAAATTGGAGGTTTGCTGTCAGATAGTAGGATGTGTTTTGTCCCTCGGAAAAAGAACGAATACGGCAGTGCTGGACTCTCCCACTGCGCCTAAATAAATGTTGGAAGACAACAGACAATAGATTAAATTTTTTTCGTACACTGTGATAGAAAGAAAGAGTGAGAGAGAGTGTGTGTGAGAGAGAGAGAGAGAGACAGAGAGAGAGAGAGAGAGAGATACCTGTAGATAACCTGCCTAAAATTTGTATTGTAATTACCGTATTTTCCGCACTATAAGGCGCACCGAAAAGAATTCAATTTTCTCCAAAGCCGACCGTGCGTCTTATAATCCGAGGTGCCTTATATATTGGATCAATACTCAGATTTCTTGGACGTAGGATTTTAAATACTCTGGAAAGCGCTTTGTTACAGCTGCAGCAGTCGTGAAAGCTCTATTTAAATAAAGCTGTATTGTATTGTATTGTATTCCCTTAAGCATAGCTCCATCTAGTGGATGCATTACGCAACCACAGCCACTATTGTGGCTTCTATTCTATGCGCCTTATAATGTGGTGCGCCATACATATGAAAACAGTTTTAAAATAGGCCATTCATTGAAGGTGTGCCTTGTACTCCAAAGCACCTTGTAGTGTGGAAAATTGGTAATGATAGAATGTTATTTAAAACACCACCTGTACAGTCACTACAGAGGTGATGATCCTGACAGATAATTGGGATTTTAGAACATCCAAATTTGAGGTTGATTAGCATCATAGGACAGGTGGTTGACCACCCGCAATCTAATACACCATTTTGGTGTGTATTCGACACACTCAGAAAATTGTCAGCGTCCAAACAGTGGTATGACTGACAGGGTTAGCATGATGAAAAAATGTGAGGAGGACAAGCAGTTCACAAAGGTTGATTTTCATCACAAAAGCAATATTTCTCATAATAATGAGTGTGCGTTAAGAGAACTCTACCAGAAAGAGAGGGTGATATCCTTGGCAACAGCATCACTCTGCCGGACCAAAAAAGTGCCATCTCTTCCTCTTGTCTCGGTACAGTAATCATGAATCAGTTGCTCTGCCATCAGTCGACCCTCTTTAATGCCACCATGAAACCATGTTTCGGAACAATGCAAATCATGGTACTGGGAAAATACACAAAAACACATGCTCTGACATTCATTTCTTTACTTTAGCAATCACAAATAGAAAACAGAACACAAATTACAGTCCGTGGTTCCAAAGTTGAAAATGAGACATTAGATCAGCTTTTGAAACATGTCCTACTGCAGTATAGTTCACAAGCTTATGTTTTAATTTTTGATAACAAGTTCCAACATGCCAGCAGATTCATTTCTTTTCACCAGCAGGCATTCATTTATTTTCTTTCTAGTTTTTTTTTCTTTTTTAGATTTATTGGTGATGTCACTTTCAGTCTGTATGCAGTCAATTATTAGACTTCAAAACTGACATCTTCCTGTTCATGTTATGCTGAAACACTGCGCTAACAATTAAAACAAGAATTCACTCTGTATTTTCCAATGCAACAGGACGTACTAATAACAGAATGCAACGTGCTATTTAAAATATTTTATGATTTACTATTTCAGTTATGCATGAAGGTGAGGGGAAGCGGACTAGTGCTGAGACCAACCGTCATAAATGAGCGAACCACAATTAAAAGCAAGAGGAGCAAGAACTATAAGCGCATGTGGGACTGGGAGTTGCAGCTTGGAATTGAAGCGGATTTACATGGGACAGGAGATGTTAGCCAATCTCTTTTCATCAATGGATGCTACAGCATGAGCCCTGTTCACACGGCACACATTTGGTCCGACAATGCACCGAAATATTTTGTTGCGATATATTTTACACCGGAG